GCCGGGGTGCTGGGAAGGGCAGGGAGCCGGCAGCGCAGCTGTGGCCATGGCCACTGGCTTTGTGTCGGTGTTGCTGTCTGGGCAGCGTGGTCCATTCCCCTGGTCTCTGCTCGCAGGCTGTGGAGGGACTTGCAGGCCTTCTGCTGCTCCCAGGGAAAGTGCAATTTCCACGACAACTCCAACCTCAACTGCACACTCAAGGTGAGGGGAGCCACAGCCCCCGAGCATGTGCCCAGCACCGGTGGCGTGAGCAGCACCTACCCACCTGGCTCTGGATGGGTCCATAGTCCCTCAAGTGTCCTGCTGAGTCCAAACCCTTGTTGCAGATGGAGGAGATGATTCAGATCGTGGAGGAGTCCGGCCTCAACATCTACAACCTCTACGCCCCTTGCGAGGGCGGCGTCCCTGGGAGCATGAGGTGAGAGCAGCCCCAGGGCAGATGGGTCTCCAGGACTTTGCTTTGCAGTGTGTGGAGTCCCAGCTGGCAGAGGGACATGGTGGGCTGGGCACGGGGTCTCTCTGGGACAGGTGGACCATGTCTGGCTGCTGTCAAGGACTACCCTAGGGAGGACTTTGAGCCCTTGTTCCTCCAGAGCTTTCAGCCTGTCCCCTGCTCCTTCTGGCTGCAGGTATGAGGGTGATTATCTCATCACACACGATCTGGGCAACTCCTTCATCCGGATGCCGATGAGGTTCTCCTGGCGGCAGGTGAGCCCAGGAGCCCGTGCCACCGGGCTGCGGGTGTGCCCTGCCTGGCTGGTGGTGCTGCCTGTGGGCAGGAGGGGGCAGAGAGCGGCCGCTCCCGTGGGGCAGCACCAGGTGCTGCTGTGGCAGGGACTCTCCTGACTCTCACACAGAACCTGTTCCGGATGCCAGTAGCCCGGAAGAAGGTCCGGATGGACCCTCCCTGCACCAACTCCACAGCCCCCAGCACGTATCTGAACTCCCCGGAGGTGAGGAAGGCTCTCCACATCTCCCCCGATGCCCCGGAGTGGCAGGGGTGCAGGTGAGCAAGCTCCGGGCGGGGAGGGACCGTCGCAAACATGAGCAGCTGCGTGACGCTGCCGCTTCCTCCGCAGCTTCGAGGTGAACCGCAGCTACAAGCGCCTGTACATGCAGATGAACGACCAGTACCTGAAGCTGCTCGGAGCCACGGTGCGTGCGGGGGAACCCACCGGGCACTGGGGCCGGCTCTGCCAAACCAGCCTCCTGCCTGGCCGGGGCCACTGCCCTGCGAAATGCTCACCCTGCTCCTCCTCTGCAGAAATACCGGGTCCTGGTGTACAATGGGGACGTCGACATGGCCTGCAACTTCCTCGGGGACGAGTGGTTTGTGGACTCCCTGTGCCAGAAGGTAAATGGGCAGGG